CTCACTATCCCCCCGCACCACTCCCCACTTCCCAGCTGAGGGGTAGGGACTGTTGAGCTTGGGAAAGGGTAACCTGAAAGGGAAGAAAAGGAGTAGAAAAGGAAAGATTCAAGAAGAAGAATTTTGTCTATTCACAGCTTGTCATAGAACTTGCTATATCCTACTAAACAATCTCAGAAGTCAGTTTTCACAATTAACTAATCAAATATAACTCGCTTTCTAAAGATGCTCAACATGGGCCGGCCTGTGGCTCACTCGGGAGAGTGCGGTGCTGATAACACCAAGGCCCCGGGTTCGGATCCCATATAGGGATGGCCGGTTGGCTCACTGGGTGAGCGTGGTGCTGACAACACCAAGTCAGGGGTTAAGATCCCCTTACCGGTCATCTTTGAAAAAAAAAAAAAAAAAAAAGATGCTCAACATAAGTACTTAATAATAATTTCATTTCTCCTTTTGTCCTCATGACAGGATCAGAATAGCTATGATCTCTGCTGGGAATAAAGGCATTTCTTTTATCTACTAAACCCAGTGCTAAATGGCAATAAATCATTGTTCATTAAGTTCTACAACCTAAACTATATGATACTGAAGAAATTCTGGCCCTTATGTATCATAATTAACATCAAATAACAGTACAAAATTGCAGTACGACAAAGAGCGACATGGCAATAGCTCTAGCTGGTCAGAACTAAATTAACTCACTAAACTTAAGGGGGAAAAAAGAAAAAATAATCAAGACGGGTTCTACCTATGGAACTAAAGGAATGGGTATAATAGTTTTATCAGTTTAGTTCCAATCAGTAGAGAGAAGCCACACAGAGATTTGAATAAGTTTAATATAAAGAATTATTAACTATAACAGGGGATTGGAGTAATGAGGCTAGCAGGAATAAAGGGAACTTTAAAGCATGTAAGAAAGGCAGATATAAGGAGCAGACTTGTAATAATGAACATGCTAATAATATTGATTTGACTAATACATGTTGTACACAGGTGATGGCAGTCAACGTTGTACCCCCCAAATATGTATAATCAATCATGCTTCAACAACAACAGAATAAATAAGGAGCAGACACTACCCCCAGGGCTGAGATAGGGTGCCCAAGCAAGAGCACCTCCCAGTGCTGAGATCCAGGCCTTGGAGAGGGCACAGCTGTGGGTCACTGAATAAAGAAGTCCCATAGAGAAGTCTCACAGAGAAGCCCTTGTGTTGCTGAGCTGGTGGAACTTGCTGGAAATCTGCCTTCTGGAACTTGCCAGGAATCTACGATCTGGTAGTTGCTGGAAATCCAATATCTGGAACTTGCTGGAAATCTGCCCTTTATGGTTCTGGAAAGTTTTTCATGGAGTGGTGTCTCAGGGGAGGCATTCCACCACAAAACTGCCCAGAGGGGAATGTGGGTGATAGGGATCAGGGATGGGAGAGAGTGCTGGGTGCTGGGTGTTTTGTGCTGCTAGCTGCTGTGCACCACAGGAATCAGCAACTGAAGAAGCCCCCTGCATTGCAGGAGCTGGATGCTGGGAAAGCTGCGTGAGCTGCAGAAGCTGGACACTGGAGAAGCCACATGTGCTGCAGGAGTCTGTTGAGTGAATGCACAGGAACTAGGAAGCTTTCTTGCAATATTCCTCCAGCACTTTAGACTGACAAAGTTTAACATTGTGCCAGCTGGCAAAGGAAAAACATTTGAAAGACCCAAATGCGTTTTCACAATGCAGGCAAAAAGGGTGAATTTAGAATTGAGAGGCACTACGTTGATAATTGGCACAATAATCATCTCCAAATTCCTCCACCCCCTCAGGAATGTTTTAATGTTTTATAAAGTAAGTTGGGTATCAGTCAGGTAAATGACTGAACTCTCCAATCATGGATACAATTCAAATTCCTTTTCATGGATCTCTTAAGTCCCAGGAAAATCATGGACTGTGGTCAGACTCCAGGTTAGCATTATTAAATAAAAATTATAGATGGCCATTGTTTTGGACTAAGGTCCTGCACTAGGCCCCAAAAGACCAGGCTAAAAATCAAAACGCTAAGTTCCACATCACCAAACTTATACTGAGTTGTGATCTGACTTTTCAAGAAATCTGGAGAGACAGATAACAGCCAATTTCCCAAACAGCTCAGTTTAAATCTTCAATAGGCATGTTAATGACATTCTGGAACCCTGCTTTTAACCCTTACACAAAAAGGACAGCCTGAAGCAACCTGATGTTAAATAATCAGTTAAGGCTCAGTTAGTTAGAATGCAGTGCTCACAACACCAAGGTCAAGGGTTCCAATCCCTATATGGCAAGCTGCCAAAAAAAAAAAAAAAAAATCAGTTAATTAGTTATCTTCCTATTCTGTCTCCCTGTCCCTACCTAACAAGGAAAGAAAGTTTGAAATGACCAATTCTGTTTTTGTTCTTTGTTTCTACTTTCTTCAGCCTTTCCTGTCTATAAAACAAAACTCCTCTGCTTGGCTCATTGGAACACTTATTCTATTTTATGGAATAAAGTGTTGCCTGATTCTAGAATGGCAATAAAATCAATTCAGATCTTTAAATTTGTTGTAATTTTGTCCTTTGATAGCATCCATGGGAAGCGCATGAATATTAAGATAGATTTGCCTGTCTAGAGCACATTATGCATATTATGATTCTTAATGCAACCTGTTTTGGTGTGATGGGGGCAGCATCCAGAATGAAGAGGGGTGAAACTGGTGGGAAATGAAGGAGTGCAATATAGACAATTCTTTACAGAAGTGAGGTAGTGAAGCTGAAGACAAAAGACAGTAGTAGCTGGAGGGAAATACGGAGCTAGAGAAGTTTTTAAAAATTAAATAAGAGACTTGAGCATATTTAAAAGACAATGGGAAGGTTGGCGGGTTAGCTCACTTGGTTAGAAAGCAGTGCTGCTAACACCAAGATTAAGGGTTCAGATTCTCTCACAGGCCAGCAGCCAAAAAAAAAAAAAAAAAAGATCCAGTGGAGATGAAGGGCTTGAATATAAAAAAAGAGATCATGTAGGGCTCCTAAGAAGAAGGGAGGGTTTGGGATCTGTGGAAATAAAAACACCTTTCAGCCTAAAAATTGATTCAGCCTTTGTTAAAAGTAAACCTTTAAAAGATTATCTTAATAACATCTTCTCAAAATAATCTTTATTAACTTTAATTACCATTGATATGCAATGATTCACAAAATAAAGATATTTAATAAGAAACACTGACAAGGAAGAACCTTGTTGACATATGTACCTTAAGAATGCAAAGCACTATGCTGGCTATTCTTAGTAAGATAAGTAAGAGAGGTTAGAGAATATTTACATTCCAGTGAACTTTCAGTTGCACAAGGAACAAAGAACGTCATTAGGAGCCATGTGGGGCAAAGGTCTTACTGAAGTATAAACCTCTGCAGGCTCTGTTTCTTAATATCATAAATTATAGTTTCTTTCTTTGATAGTGCAAGAAACTTCCCAAGACACTCAATTTTAACTTCAGAATTTTTGCTTAGTATTTCCAGACGTAACCTTTAGTGGTAAAGCATCATTATGACCACAGAGTCTGTAACATGTTTGTTGTAGGAAATTGCACTTGGTGTGCAAGATAAGAAGTCAAGGGAATTGAGGGTATTGGAAGTAATGTCAATGAAATGACAGTCTATGGGCTCTAAGTTGGATAATGAGGGAAGTCTTAAAAGAAGAAAGCTTAATGGATTAGTGATCCTGATGAGTTTGAAAAATAGTTATAGTGGGCTTATTTGAATAAGCAAGTTAGAAGAATAGGAAGTTGTGGTCTAAGTGGAGGATGCTTCATTTAAAAAAGAAAGGGAGAAATAAGTATCTGTAGTGGAGGTGAGGTGATGACTGGAGGTGAGGGATTCAAGAAATTAAAGGCCAGAATGATGGTCTGTTACCTTTTTTTTTTGGTGGCTGGCTGGTATGAGGATCCAAACCCTTTGACCTTAATGTTATAACACGGTGCTCTAACCAACTGAACGACCGCTAGCCTGGCCTGTTAGTTTTAATCTCATCCAGATAGACACTGAAGGGCTTGGGATGGAGAGGAAGACTGCATTTAGGTGAGAGTTCAATGAATGAGGAAGAGTGACTTGGAGATCAGCAGATGACAGCTACAAGTAGGTTAGTAAAGATGAAAGTATGTATATAAAAGAGGGTTTGCATGTTCTGTATTTAGAAGGTGCTTTCACGTTTAATGTGATCTAATTTATTATCCTTTCTTCACTGGTGATTTGCAAATTTTATCAGGGTTTTATGGCAACATGGATATATTACAAATTCGAATAGAACACACTTGCTTCCGTGGAGTTAGGATTCAAACTGAATGCCTAATGTAAGAAGATAACATATTTGAGTGAAAAGTGATTTTCGAAATTACAATTCAACAGAGAACACAGGACAAAATTCAGGCACACAAAATACAGATAATGAAAGCAGTTAACAACTCAAAGGAAGAGACCACTGCAGGAGCAAATAGAATCATGAGCATTAGAACTGAAAAGCTCTTAAAAAAAACCCTAAAAATTTACATCGAACAGAAGTTCGTGGTTTAAAAAAGCACAGGACTAGACCAGGAGTTGGGAGAGAGCTATGGAGTCTAGGGGTTGCAGCCCTAGCCGTGTGGTCGCTTCCTTCACTTCTCTGGTTCTCCAGATCCAGGCCGACACGGTAACGGTTCATATCTCTGGGCTGCCCTTTCCCCCTCGCTGGTAAGTTACTTAACTCTCTGGTACGTCTCCCCATTTCATATATCAAAATAATTACAAAATAAACGTAAACCTAAAAGGACCCTGTTTTATTACGATTAGGTCGCTGAACGAAAATGGACAGGCCGAAAAAAGAAAAGGGGTAGCCGGCCTAGGGAAAACGTAGCCTTGGACCTGCTCCAAATCAGGCGGTTGCAAACCACGGCAGGGAGGGTGGGAGGCGCGTTGCCGCGGATGGGGCGGGGGCGGTGGCGGAAGAGACCGCCCTGTGAGCGGAAGTGACGTGACGCCGGCTCTCGGCTACGAGGGGAGGCGTAGCCGCTCGGTAGAGGGAGGCGGTGTTGGCGGAAGAGGTTCGGTGGCCGATGGCTGCTCCAAATCGGAAGTCTGTCTAATGCTCCTCCTCGGTCCAGGAGCCCTTCACTGGGTAAGGCACCTTCCCGGTCCGCCCCGGCGCCTCGTGCGGGGCGGACCCCAGCTGGAGGTCTTTCGGGGCTCGTACTACGTCCCTCAGCCCCTAAAGTCTAGGGGCCTGGCGGGTCTCGGGAATGGTCTCCGTGGTGACGATACTGCCAAATGACGATGCTTTCCTTCCCGCGGACAAGCCTTCCCTCCCAAACTGCAATTGTGACGGGTGTGTGGGCGACCCGGCTCAGCGGTGGGGTTGGAAGAGGGACGGGTGGCCGCCCCACACAGTGGGGAGGCCCGCGGGATAAGCCTTGGAGATTTAGAGGAGGTGTGTGCGACGGAGGCCCTTTGGGGGCTAGTGACGCGGATGACCCTCGAAAAAAACCTCTAGTGTCCGAGGCTCACTCTGGGTGACTGTGTTGAGGGCAGTGTGTGTGCTACCGGCGTAGATAAGCTTGGGAAAACATGTAGGCCAAGTTGGGAAAGGACGCTCGGGCTTGCCGCTGCGGAGAGAAAACTGTTTTGGTGTGAGTCGCCGGAGGAGAAGGAGGCGGGGACTCCCTGCGCCGCCTACATTTCAGGGCCGCGGGGGGAGTTAGCTGTCGCCGGATCTCCTACTGCACCTGGGCTGCGGAACTAATTAGGTCTGCAGCTGTCGGTGAAGGGACCCCTCCTTCTAGTGCTCGAAGGGTATTTAAGAAATCATCTGAGGGGCGTCACATCTTTTTTTGCTTAGTCGACTTTCCTTGATTTCACAACTCACAACTCTTTCCCTCTTCTCCACCCAGACACCCCGCTTGCAAGTTGTGGGCAGGTCCAGACTGGCGCTTGTCGCTAATATATTAATCTAAAAGTGGGCTGATTGTCCTCAAAATGCCCTTCGGGTATGGAGAAGGGACTGAAGCTAGGCTTTCTCCTTCGTTCTGTTCTTTTCAAGCGAGAAGATGATTTCTTGAAGGATTATTTTACTAGGCTAGGAATAACTTCTTAGGCAATCTGATCATCCAGCTTCAGAGTAACATATTGTAGTTTTTGTTTTCTACTCATCACATTCTTAAGCTGCACACCTCTGTTTACAATTATGACTATAGCCATGTGTGTAGAATTAACCTGTAAATACCTTTTCCATAACAGAAATGACAGGTATTTTGAAATTCTTAGTGTCAGCCTTTTAATTATTTGTTTATTTTTGCGGATGGCCAGTTACTTGGTTTTGGTGTTACAACACCGCGCTCTAACCAACTGAGCTAACCTAGTTTCAACCTTTTTTTTAAAAAAAGATGACCGGTAAGGGGATCTCAACCCTTGGCTTGGTGTTGTCAGCACCACGCTCAGCCAGCGAGCCAACCGGCCATCCCTATATGGGATCCGAACCCGGGGCCTTGGTGTTATCAGCACCGCACTCTCCCGAGTGAGCCACGGGCCGGCCCGAGTTTCAACCTTTTTAATGATGTGTAAATATTCATGAAATATCCTAACGATGCTCCTTCTGTGTATCTCTTTGGGGGAATTATGTGAAGTTTATTGGATTGTATTCTTTAGGAATGGATAATACTGTGTAAAATTTGGGCTTTACACACTTCTGGCTTTTTAAAGTTTATTTTGCTCCAAATAAATCTTTAGAAGATTAAAATTACCTATTCCCTAATACATGTGAGCCAAGAGCATAACATTTTAGAAATCAACTTAAATCTAAAAAGAGAATAGAACTGGTGTGGGTGACACCTGGGCAGAGTGTACTGGCACTCAGCTAACTGTAAAGGATTCTGGAGATAGGGATGTATGCAAGAGTGCAAATTAATAGTCTAGGGGCGTTGCTTCTGCCTTCCAGAAAGATTGCTGATAACATTTTGTGGAGTAAAGTTCTGCAAACCGGTTGATAATCTTTGTTAGAGCTAAAGTATGAATAATTGGAAACTTTTGGGGGTGGTGATGCTGGTCTGTAATACCGCATTCTAACCAACTGAGCTAACCGGCCAGCCAAGTGGAAACTTTCTGCATGCCAGTCACTTTTCCCATTCAGGTGTCTTGTTGTCCTATAGGACTGAAGTTTGGGGATGATTTTAAAGGTTCATATTTTTTTAAGTGAAGATTTTTAAAACTTTCATCAGCTCTGTTGACCACTACCTGGATTGTAACACTTCTTTTTTTTTTTTTTTTTTTAAAAAGATGACCGGTAAGGGGATCTCAACCCTTGGCTTGGTGTTGTCAGCACCACGCTCAGCCAGTGAGCAAACCAGCCATCCCTATATAGGATCCGAACCCGCGGCCTTGGTGTTATCAGCACCGCACTCTACCGAGTGAGCCATGGGCCAGCCCTGGATTGTAACACTTCTTTTTTTTTTTTTTTTTTTAAAAAGATGGCCGGTAAGGGGATCTCAACCCTTGGCTTGGTGTTGTCAGCACCACGCTCAGCCAGTGAGCAAACCAGCCATCCCTATATAGGATCCGAACCCGCGGCCTTGGTGTTATCAGCACCGCACTCTACCGAGTGAGCCATGGGCCAGCCCTGGATTGTAACACTTCTTTTTTTTTTTTTTTTTTTAAAAAGATGGCCGGTAAGGGGATCTCAACCCTTGGCTTGGTGTTGTCAGCACCACGCTCAGCCAGTGAGCAAACCAGCCATCCCTATATAGGATCCGAACCCGCGGCCTTGGTGTTATCAGCACCGCACTCTACCGAGTGAGCCATGGGCCGGCCCTGGATTGTAACACTTCTAAGGGAACTAAGTGTTCGTATTCTAAAATGCAATGTGTTTCTATTAAAGTAGGTCATACATGGAGTTTTTATTACTAATCTTTTATTTGCTTTGGTTTTACTAACTTTTTACTATAGAAATTTTCAAATGTATACAAAAGGAGAACAAAGTAAGATGAACCAATATTTTGCTAATCTTCTTATTACCCTCCAGCACGTTTGTTTCTTTCCCCTGGAGTTTTAAAAGCAAATCTCAGACATAAGACATAAGATAATTACTTTAGTATCTCTAACTGATAAGGACTTTTAAAAAGATACAGTCACTATAATATCACACATAACAAAATTACCTTATTTCTTTTTGAATTTGAATTGTTAGGATTGGCAAGTTATATTAAAATTTTATCTAAATTAAAAAAGCTTTTTTTGACTTCATATGTTTAATGCACAGAAGTTCTTAATGTGTTCTGTTTTCTACTAAGTTGATTAAGGCTTACATTTTTGGGTTAGTTAAGTAAAATAAGCATCAGGAGCCACGGGAAAAGTACTACCACAAAAGCTAGGCCTGTTTTGGGGATTTGAAAATTCTAAGAGGAGGAAGTAAAGATAATATTGAAATCCTTTTTTTTCCCCCAGATTTATTTTAGCTGGATACTAAACTGAATGCCCACTGCATATTATTTATCTTTTTTTTAGACATACGGAATTCCCAAAATAACAAAATTGGATTTTAGACCAAAGACTTTTATAGCGTTACACAAATAAAGGAATTCTAGTGATATTAGTACTTTAGGAAATGTAGTAGGAAACCTGGAGGAGGGAACTGCAGCATGTTTATACATTTCAGACTTTGTTTCCCAGCCAAATTGTTGACTGGAAAATTTTTTACTTGGGCTTGCTACCTTACTTTCCTCCTGCTTCTGGAGATGTGCTTTAGAGAATGGGAAGCAAAATTTGGTATGGTAAAGCTGCTTGCTTCCACTTCTCTGTGTAGGCACTGTGTTTCCTTTCTTCAGCTGAGGTGAGGTTTGTACTTTTTTCTCAGGATGTTAGTGAAGCTACACTTCCCAGGCATTACCACAAGGTGATGCAGTGACTTTGCATATTACTTCTCCCACTAGTCTGTATGTGTATGCGTTTGGCATTCTGAATGAATTCCAACATTTTTACAAGCTTGCCCAGTCTCTTCATTCTATTTCTTTATCTGTGGGAGGAGTGAACCAGAGGAACTGTGTGGGAATTAGGAATTTTATTTTACTATTTAAAATGGGTTGATTCATGATGTAAATATATTCAGATTGCATTCATTCACATTAACTTTTTTATGACTAGAAGCTATATTGTAATTTAGTAAGAAAAGTAAAAAACAAAGAATAACAACCATACTGGAACTTTTGTAAAATATTTCTATAATTATAACAGCATTGACATTTTCAGAAAGGTTGGCACATTGGAGAGAGAGTAATGAAGGCTATTAATAGGATGATTACAAATTATTATTATCCTACTCATAAGACTTAGAAACATCGTCAGTATATTTGAAGTGCAATGTTAGTGTTTTCTATTAAAAACTTGAATTTTGGGGGGAGGGTAAAAAAAGGAAATTTCTTGTTACTATGGTTACTTAAAACAATAAAAATAATACTTGTTGAAATTGAAACATTAAATTGAATTAAAAGTTATAGTTCATACTGGCCAGATGCCCCCCCCAAAAAAGTTAAAGTCCTCTTAAGTCCTCTTTTCACACACATTCTTCATAAGTAAAGACTATTAACTGTATGGTGTGTACTTTTTGAATCCCTTTTTGATGCATTTATAAACATATATACACATGTATAAATACATATATGTATACCTACATGCAATTTTATACCTAAAAACTTTTCAATGAAGTAAAAGCATAAAGTAATAAATTGGATTATGAATTTTTATTTATTTTTATTTTTTGGCAGCTGGCCAGTATGGGAGACCACACCCTTGACCTTGGTTTTACAAGGCTGTGCTCTAACCAACTGGGCTAACCGGCCAGCCCTGGATTATGGATTTTTAAGAACCTGTTGCAACTGAGGTTAAACAAAAGTTTAAACTCCACTGCCTTATTTTATAAACAGTTACAGCTTTATTGATTTAATTTACTTTAGGAAATGGCATGTTAAATTTTAAGAAGAAAAGTTTCATCCTTTAATATCTTTTAATTAAAAACATGGAAAGCTTATTCTAAGCTAGGTTATTTCCTCACTGTATATTTTCCTCAAAGAAACCTAAATACTCACTTTCTGCATAGAAAAATATTACTGGTTCACTTAACTCACTTTTGGTAGTTGTATCTAATAGAGGTTGATTCCATTGATTTTACTGGTATCTTAGTACTGAGTATTTTTTAAAGGAACTGGAATTGGTGGGTTTTTCCCTTCTGAGGTCAGATTAGCTCAAACAGCTCAAAGAAACAAAATAATACAACTCTTAAGTTATATTAGAGTTCCTTAGTGTTTATAAGTGCTACCTTTTCATTTTCTTGAAGGCTTTAGAAGCACAGGTGGAGAGTATTCATAGTTGTTTTTCCATGAAATAGGGTTGCTGGTAGTCAAGCCCCTTTTGTTAGTGCAGAAGTAAAGGAAGTTTGCTACTGAATGTACTCTTAACCTTGAATTCCTTGCAAACCTCGGGTGGGGAAAGGCTAACAGACAGCTAGCCTGATATTTTATCACAGTGGTATCCATGTTCATGATTAGCAGTCTCTTTATGGTATATCCAATATATTGTTCAGTAAAGCAGTACTTTGATCATAATAGAAGCAAAAAAGAAGCATAACAAGCAAAGTTGGTATTTCTAAAGTGCTTGTTATTTCAAAACTTTAAAAATTTGCCTTAGTATTTCAAATAGGTCAGCAAAAGAAACAGTTATGAAAAGCAAACTCTCTTAGGTCTTAGCAATATGGCTTCGTATAATTGCTAAAATATGAGTGGAGCCTTACTGCTGTACTTGCTCTGTAAAAACCTCATTTAATTGTGTAATAAATTAGATTAATTTGGTTAACAAAAATCTTGCCCCCATTTCCCTTGTTATGACAGAGACTGCAGTTTTAATGACTCAGAAGCAAGTGCCATAAAATCAGTCACAGTTTCTTACATGTACTGTAGAATCATAGATTCAGCATTCATAGGCCTTTATGTAAATGGAATCAGATATTATATACTAATTTTTCTGTCTCCGATCTTTCACTAAAAACAGCTATGTGAGATTCACCCATGTTGTAGTGTGAATCAGTTCATTCATTTTATTGCTAAGTAGCATTCAATAGTATGGATATACCACAGATTACCCATTCACAGTTTTTTTTTTTTTTTTTTTTTTTTTTTATTGGCTGGCCAGTACAGAGATCTGAACCTGTGATCCTGGTGTTGCGAGGCTTCGCTTTAACCAACTGAGCTAACTGGCCAGCCTGGATTGTGTTTTTGAGTAAATCCCCAGTCGTTTCCTTTTTCTCAAAAGTAGAGCACAGAATATGGAAAACATTTGGGTCTTGTGGTATTTATAATCCACTCTCATCGTTTATCTGCTGTCCAGTGCTTAGTGTTCACTAAGCTGGTGAGCATTCACTGAATCTCTAATAGATTTTAAACAGTATGTATTTCATTGACACTATACTTTTATTTTTATTTTTTGATATACATTTATTTTTAATCAGTAGTTATGTGGTACATGAATACTAGAAATCAAGATAGGATCACTGAACCCAAAATGAAAGGGTAGAATTAGTATAGTTAGAGAGGAACAAATAGGCTGAGCTATTTCAGGTAGACCAGCTGAGCGTTTACATAGTTTGAGACATCTAAACAATCTTGTACCAGAAGGCCAAGAAGACAGACTGGGTCTGGGATCTGTGGAAATGATTGAGAGGTGGTAGTAGAGGCTTAAGTTGTTGGGTTAGATCAGAGTCTAAATAGTGGTTCTCTCTATCCTGGCTGCACATAGGCTTATAATTCCTTGGGGAGACTGGGGAAAAATATATGTATGGACTGTTCCCCATCCCCCCTATAGGTCCCACTCCCAGAAAGTCACTGTCTTTTTCTTTTTAAAGGCCCCTAATGATTCTAATTTGTAAATAGGGTTGAGAATTGCTGGTCCAGGAGATCATGACATGGAGCAGGAATGCAGGCACAGAGAAGTTAGCATCAAGTTCAGTAATAGAAGCCTAGAACCTGAGGAGAAGAGAGGGATAGGTTGGGCGGGGGGAAATGATGAAGTTCAAGACTTCTACGTAGAAAATAAAAGTTAATTGACCAGTAGCCAATAAAACAAATTTTAATTGTCCTTGTTTCTGTTTCATAGTGTCTGTTGCTAGGGGCCAACAGGTTTATATTGGCAGTGTGTGTGCACTAAAACACCTCTGGTTCATTTGCTTTTGGTTGGAATAGAACTGGAGGGATAGGGAGAGTTGAGAGTTTTCGTTTTTGGTTTTTTAACTTTTTTTTTTTTTTTTTTTTTTTTAAGATGACCGGTAAGGGGATCTAACCCTTGACTTGGTGTTGTCAGCACCACGCTCACCCAGTGAGCAAACCGGCCATCCCTACGTGGGATCCGAACCCGTGGCCTTGGTGTTGTCAGCACTGTACTCTCCCGAGTGAGCCACGGGGCCGGCCCTGGTTTTTTAACTTTTTAACCCCCATGTGGGTTGAGTTTGTTTTTTTAACCCCCATATTGGCTTTAGTTATTTTTCAATTTTTCTGTGTATTTATAGTTAATCACATTTTAAAGGAGGAATTTCAATATTTAAAAAGTATGTTTCTTCTCAATTATGGTGTGCAAATATCCATGAAATTTGCATGAACTGTTATGTATTTTATGAAGCCATAAGTTTATTCTTAGTTGGTGTTTAACTTGTGTGAATTACTTGTTTCAGATTGACAATGACATCTTTTCAAGAAGTCCCATTGCAGACTTCCAACTTTGCCCATGTCATTTTTCAAAATGTGGCCAAGAGTTATCTTCCTAATGCACACCTGGAATGTCATTACACCTTAACTCCATATATCCATCCACATCCAAAAGATTGGGTTGGTATATTCAAGGTAAGAAAACTTTCTGAATATGTCTTCCATGTAGGCACTTTTTATTTTCTTTTTAAACAGATTGATAAGTAGCTTATAATACTCTTCTCTCAACTCTGAATTAAAGCTCATTTTTATAAACATCACCACAAAATAATTTAACAGCACACAGTAGTATAAAATAAATGCTGAAGACTTTATTTCACCAGGTTTTCCTCTCTATGATCAAAAAGCTCATCTTCTCTAAAAGTTTGGTGAAATTTTTTTTAGATTTTTTTCCCCCTATTTTCTTCATTCCGTACCTGAAAAAAAGGTATTTTCCTTTATGTTCTTTTATCATTCACTCTCTTCCAGTTATTTGTAATTAATTTTGTACAGCTTTACAGCAGTGTTATCTCTTCTATTGTTGTCCTGTGTTGCTTAAATGTTGCTCATATTGCTCTATTTTGGAAGAATGACTTGTTTTACGTGACTGACAAGTAAACTCTTTGATGGCAGGAGTCCCAGTCCTTATATTTCACCAATCATTTTGTATAATATTTGCTTGAAGATTACGTTGAGATGATCTTCACATGGTACCTCATTGTGCTAGAAGTTTTCTAGCAATTTTAACTCTTCAGAATATAGTGGAGAACCAAAACATGAGTGTCCTTTGAGCAGTCAGAATAGTGTCATGAATGTCCAAATAGTAAACTTTAATCAATTTTCTCCTTGGTCACTCTAAAATCTTCCGTAGAATCTGTTTGTTTTATTTTAGATAAGATTTTAATGGGCTTGAAATTTGAATTGTCTGGGCCGGCCCGGTGGCGCACTGGATAAGTGTGCCGCTTGGGAAGCGCGGCAGCGCTCCCGCCCGAGGGTTCGGATCCCACATACAGACCGGTTCCTGCTCACTGGCTGAGCGAGGCGCGGGAGCAGCGCCGAGGGTTGCGGTCCCGTTTCCGGTCCCCGGTCCGGTGCAGGGGCGACACTGAGGGTTGCGATCCGTTGCCGGACACGGAAAAAGGAAAAAAAAAAAAAAAAAAAAAAAAAAAAGAAATTTGAATTGTCTGGTCTGTATAAGTTAAACAGCAAAGTAGAAATAGGACTAGCTGCTAGAATTAAGCACATGGAAAGTATCTAGAAGTGGAAGTCCGGCCTAATAGAGTAAGGCAGGTAGAAAAACTATATTTGGACAAAACAAAGTTTTGGCATTTAATGATATTTCAGTTCTTTTTTTGAATCCCTTACCCCTTGATGTTTCTGAATAGATGAGTTATTACTGTTTACTTTTTGTATAAGTTTTTTAGGCTTGTCATATTCTAAAATGGAGAAACATTCATTGAAAACATTTTTTGAAATCAGTATTAATTTTAATTTTATGTGAGATATTGGTATTACGATAAAGATACTGATTGAGAACTGGTGTTTTCTGTAAGAATGGGTTGGAGAGGAAAAAGACAACAGGGAAATGTCATTGAGGGAAAGGAAGAGCATTTCCAGACGGAAAACGGTATGAGCAAGAGCACAGAGGTGAGAATGTTCATGATAATTCGTAGGTTAGTTTGACTAGAACGTAAGCTTTATTTAGGGAAGTTGAGGGTGATGAGAGTGGAGTTAACTTTCAGTCTGTCTATGGAAGGCCTTCGGTGTTAGGCTAAACTGTTTATAGACTTCTTTTTAGGGGCAGTGGAAAATCTTTGTATATGTGTAGGCTGTTTGAAAAATTACATTTCAAGAAGATGAATCTTCACTTTTTTCATTCAGACTATGTGTTTATTTCTTGTATTTTTCTCATTTTTCTTTAATGGCCTATCATCTAAGCCAAAAGCTTAGGACTTTCTCTTCAAATCCAGCCAGACACCAGTTTTACTCATTTTACTGCTTACATTTCTTTTTGTGTGTGTGTTTTGTATTTTTTAGTGAAGTTTGTAATCCAGTGGACACACAAAACAAAACCGCTGAGAAAAACAATTTCATAAATTAATAAGTGTTAGGAAGTTGGGGGAAAGATCAAGGTAATAGAAGAAGGGATTAGCCTGTCTTTTTGTATAGATGCTGTGTGACACTTCCACGTTGTGGGTGTGGGGCCTGTGTGTGAGGAAATGCACTTATACAAATGAGTGACAATGAAAAGTCTAAGTATGAAAATAAGATTTTCTCTGAAAATACACTTTTGGCACAGATTAATAAAGATGTATGTTGGGGGACTTTTTAAAGTCAGTATTACATATATATATATATATATATATATATATATATATATAATATTTATATTTACATACATCCCAAGTTCTGCATATCTCACTGAGAAAGAAAATCCTTCCGTTGGCTCTTTTTTGACTATAAACTATACATCCCTATGAATCAAAGATGGTGGCAGCAGGAGAATTAAGAAAGGTGACATATCTGATGAGCGAGGGAGGTGGGGGACCAAAAAACCTAATGAAATGTCCCCAACATTTCAGCAGAAGTTTGAAGTCCTGCATTAGAGTCCATGATTGTGTTGTCATACAACAAGACATACAGAGCATCACAGCCTGTCTTCACTGTGCAGAAGTCCAAGTCACTCATTTAGTGCAAAGGCACTTAACTTCTGTTTTCTTGTTTCTTAAAAACAAAAACAAGAAAAATTACTTCCACTACCCTGTTCTTTTTCTCCAAAAGAAGAAAGAGAATCCCAGCCCCAGGGTGTCTGCCAGTCCTTCGGTGGTGGTCTGTCCTTGGGCTAAATACATCCTAAATGTCACTGCTCTAGTTCATGTCCTCCTTATTTTTTTCTAAGACTATTGCAATAGGTCATTTGTTTTCCCTGTTTTCATTTTGCCCCCTTACCTCTATCTATTCTTTAAACTGCTCCATATAAACTATAATATAAAATGAAAAGCTGAACATGTCTTTCTCTTGTTTAAATCTCTTCAGTTGTTCTTCATTGTTTATAGAATAATGCCAAGACCAAATAACTTAGTGTGCCATGTAAGGCTCCTTTATAAGACTTAATCGCTGGCTTCCCTTTTTTTTGTTATTACCTGCTTATTTTTGCTTTGGTAATGCTGAACTATGCCTTTTTCCTTATGCACTCCAAGGACTGTAACCTTTCTCTAAGAAAAAAAAAAAAAGAAAAAGAAAAAGAAAAATCTTGGTAGAATACCCTTTTCATGTTTTTTGCTTGGACAGTACTTTAAAACTCAATAGGAAATTCAAGAATGTAGTAAAAATTTCAGGTAATTCAGGAAGGCTTAAGGAAGAAAGTAAATTTATCTTGGGATAGCTATTGTTAATATATTGGTTTATAGCTACATATAGTGAAATAATAAGTATACACGTACATAATGTGTGTATAATGAATATAGATACACATAGAGGTTGAGTATCCCTAATTTGAAATCCCGAAATCCAGAATGCTTCAAAATTCAAAACTTCTTGAGCACTGACATGATGCTTAAAAGAAATACTTATTGGAGCTTTGGACCATTTCAGATTGCAGATTTTTGGACTAGGGATGCTTAACTGGTAAATATAATGCAAATATTCCAAAATTCAAAAAAACCTGAAATCTGAAGCACTTCTGGTCCCAAGACTTTCAGATAAGGGATACTTGACCTATACTATTGATGCATCATAGTATGTGTGTATATATTCATTGAACTAGTTCCTTACTATTGGACATTTACATTTGTTGCTAAATGTTTACCATTAAATGATGCTTAATAAAGATCTCTACCTGTTATCATTTTGTTCATCTGTCTACTTATTTCGTAGGGTAAATTCTTAGCAGTGGAATCACAATGTTTATAGCAATTCTCGCTTTTAAACAGTTTATGAGTACTGCAGATTGCCTTCCAGAATGATTTTGATAGGTACCATATTGACAGGCAGGCAGGAAGAGAGTGCCCAGATAGAAATGGTAAGGGTGAAGGAATGAAGATGGCAGTGTGTGGTTTGCTTGAGAACACATTAAAGTATTTGAGTTGCCTTGGGACAGATAATGCTTTTTGAAGATGAATGGAAAAGGAATAATTTTTATGTAAGGAGTAATAAAGTTTAGAGGTGAAGTAGAGGTGAGTGAGATAAATTGGAATCTGAAGAGAATGGAGGTAAAGAGATCACTCAGGACATCCTAATTTTCTGTGTGAGGTAATGAAGGCCTAAAGTAGACAAGGTAATCAGTTGTGGGTAATAACTATCTGCAAGTAGAATTCATAGGATATGTCAACAATCAGTTGAATTGGAACTGGAACTCATTCCATGGTACCTCAGTAAGGAGGAGCAAGGTCATGTGCTAAGAGTTGGTGAGGGCGTAACTATGGAGGTTTGGCCTTGCCACTATGGAAGGATGTCACAGGAAATTGGAGTGGGTTAACCAGGAGATTGCTGAGCAACAGTTTTATGATTTTCTCCAGAGAGTTTCAGCACTCAGAATTGCGAGTGAAGAGTGCCAAAAGTGGATATCATTCAAATTGGGTGATGGAGAAGGGTGGGAATGGAAAGGAAAGTCAAAGGATATGGTGATTCTGAGTGCATTATTGAAATGATTAACTGATGGTGAAGTCCAAGTTAGGTAGGGAAATGAGAGAAAGCCATACGAGGGATAATAGACTGAGTTAGAAGTTTTACATTTTTTCCTTTTAGTTTTTTTTACTGCCCTTTCTCAGTTTTGATTAGTGTTAGTTATAGCTAAAATAAATATGTAACATACGTTTATTACTTTATACTTTACAAAGATCTTTCATCTGAGTGTTATATTCCTCATCTTACAGATGAGGGAACTGAGCTCCAGAGAAGTGGCTTGCTCAAGTTTATCCATTAAATATTGGAACTGAAATTTGAACCTCATGTAAACTGACATTCAAGATTTGTTCTTTGTCTGTTTGCCTGTTTGATTATTTGATTATTAGTAACAGAGTTGCTAATAAGTTCAATATGCATTTTCTCAAGTGATAGAATTGAAGTAAAAATACAGGGAAAGATTTAGAAACTGCATCTGATGCTGTATCTTTATTGTTTTTTTTTTTTTTTTTTTTTTTTTAAAGATGACCGGT